CGATGGACCCTCCTCTCCAGAACCCCCGAATAGACCTTACCAGGGAGGCTTAAGAGCGTGATTCCCCTGTGGTTGGAACACACTCTACGGTTCCCCTTTTTGAATAGGGGGACCACCACCCCGGTCGGCCAATCCAGGGGAACTTCCCCCGATGTCCACGCAATATTGCATAGTCGCGTAAGCCAACACAACCCTACAACATCCAGAGCCTTAAGGAACTCTGGGCGAATCTCATCCACCCCTGGGGCCCTGCCACCAAGGAGCTTTTTAACCACCTCGGTGACCTCAGCACCAGAGATTGGAGGGCCCGACCCAGAGTCCCCAGGCTCCGCTTCCTCAGTGGAAGACGTGCCGGTGGGATTGAGGAGGTCTTCAAAGTATTCCGCCCACCGACCCACAACATCCCGAGTTGAGGTCAGCAGCATGCCACTCCCACTATAAACAGTGTTGGTGGCATACCGCTTTCCCCCCCCGAGATGCCGGATGGTGGACCAGAATCGTCTCAAAGCCGTGCGGAAGTTGTTCTCCATGGCCTCTCCGAACTCCTCCCATGCCCGAGTTTTTGCCTCAGCAACCACCCGAGCCGCATGTCGCTTGGACTGCCGGTACCCATCAGCTGCTTCCGGCATCCCACAGGCCAAAAAGGCCCGATAGGACTCCTTCTTCAGCCTGACAGCATCCCTCACCGACGGTGTCCACCATCGGGTTCGAGGGTTCCCGCCGCGGCAGGCACCGACAACCTTGCGGCCGCAGCTCTGGTAAGCCGCCTCGACCATAGAGGCACGAAACATGGTCCACTCAGACTCGATGTCCCCCACCTCCCTCGGAACATGTTCAAAGTTCTCCCGGAGGTGGGAGTTGAAGCTCCGTCTCACAGGAGACTCTGCCAGACGTTCCCAGCGAACCCTCACAATACGTTTGGGTCTGCCAGGTCTGACCGGCATCCTCCCCCACCATCGGAGCCAACTCACCACCAGGTAGTGATCAGTTGACAGCTCCGCCCCTCTCTTCACATGAGTGTCCAAGACATGTGGCTGCAGATCAGATGAGACGATGACAAAGTCGATCATCGAACTGCGGCCTAGGGTGTCCTGGTGCCAAGAGCACACATGGCCACCCTTATGCTTGAACAAGGTGTTCGTTATTGACAATCCATGACGAGCACAGAAGTCCAACAACAGAACACCACTCTGGTTCAGATCAGGGGGGCCGTTCCTCCCAACCACACCCCTCCAGGTCTCACTGTCATTGCCCACATGAGCATTGAAGTCCCCCAGCAGAACAAGGGAGTCCCCAGAAGGTGCACTTTCCAGTACCCCCTC